CCCCCACCCCCAATTAAAAATTTCAAACTCAAGTCAGGGCATGAACTGGGGGTTTACTATAAATTAGGCAAAATATGTTTGTTACAGCAAGAAACAGCAATGTAACTGTCTCTGACTTCTCAGATTGGTAGTAAGAAAAAGTATTTCAGTCCTACTTCCCATATTATTTACAAACATCAGTGAGAAAGACAGCTGGGAAAAGCATATGCAGATGTCACAACTGTCAGATATAATAAACTGACATAGTTGAGCTTCTTCTGATATAAACATTGTTAATATTTACACTGTTAAACAAGAACATTGGAATATGTGTCCAGAAGTGAAATACTGGAATAAAATAGATCCTATTCTCTACAGACCTCTCTGGCATGTGTGTTATTTACTTTTTCTTTGGACATGGAAATCTTTGATTTAAGTTCACAGTTCTTTTCTGGGACTCATCTGTAAGGTAAAATACAGACAAGGATATCCAGTACAAGAAATACTTAAGTACCATTTTTTTTCCCCCGAGACACTACACTCACAAAGGTCTGGGTAGACTTAGACCTTCATGAACTGTTGTTACAGGTGGTAACCCAGAACCATTATAAATCTTACCCAGTAAGATGTATTCTTACTTGGTTTGTTCTTTCAAGAATTTCAATCAGCTCAGATGCAACTCTCCAATTACTCTTTGTGACAAGCGTTACTGCCTCCCCAGTACGTCTAAACAAGGAATGAAATAACTGTTGATCTTCCAAACAACGGCTGCTAGGCTTTTCTTACCAACCTATGCAGTAATAAATTGTACTACAGGCAATATTATTTAACTAGATAAAATTGGCTTGAGTATTTACTACACACATGACAGAAAGCAACTTTTCATAAAGATCAGAATATGGCAATTGACCTAAAACAGAGCAAAGGCACAACTAATTTAGACAATAAACCTAGCATAAAGACAACATATTTAAGTATGAAGAGACATACATTCATCTCACGATTAAAATAAACACGTACACAAGAAAAATCATACTTGTGCAAATCTGGGAAAGCAGCATTCAGAAGTCCTAACACCATGATAAGCTGAAAACTTTGAAACTTTGAATTCCATTCCCTTCGGGGCTGTCTAAGAAACTAAACAACTCAGTGGCTCACAGGCACAAACAAGGAAGTGACATTTCAGAATTTCTGTACAGAAGTTGTTTTGAACTATAATTCCCCAAATTTTAAGCAGCTTTCAAACATCCCTTATTCCCATCCACTTCAATGAAATAACAGAAAAGTGGAAAACTCGTTTGCCTTAAATTTACTGTGAACTAATTCCAAAACATAAAGCAGTGTGTTATTATCTAAAACATACTTTGATAGACCATAAAGTCTTCACTTTCCCACTCCACATAACTTGTAGCTCTAGCATTTGACAAAAGAAACACCTATGTGGTGCATAAAATATTGACAATATATTACTATTTTCTTGTAAACACTTACCCTGCTCTTCCAGTACGACCTACTCTATGAACATATTCTTCAATGTTGCGAGGGAAGTCAAAGTTAAAAACATGAGTAATATCATGCACATCAAGGCCACGGGATGCTAAGTCAGTAGCTACCAGTATTCTGACTTTGCCTAAAGTAAGTACAAGAGAAAGAGAATGGGAGTTTATGGAATAAACAGAAAACATACTCGAGTCTATCCGTTTTCCAGTGTATAATGCACTTATTCTTAACATATAAAGGAAAAATATGCTTGTTGCACATGCTTGTGGCTTCAAATACAAGGTAAGAACTCAAAATGTCATTTTACTACTATTTGTATTTCACAAGCAGAACAGCAGGGTGTAGGAAAACCTAGAAACATGCCTAGCTGATATAAAGAATCTGTGAAAAGAACAGAAACTTCAACAGCTATATTCTCAGCTGGCATCCTTATCACAGGACTACTCTCTTTTATTCACACGCAATCATATATCCCCAAGGTATAACCCTACTGGCATAATTGAGAGCAGAACTGTTTCACTGGAAGCACCATTATTTGAAACTTAAATTAACTGCTCTGTAGACTAACACAATATTGACCTTCCCACAGGGATTTCAAAAATAAAATAAGCCTTAAATTACTTAGCTTGTGGACATTTCAAATCTTATTGAAAAGCAATCTCTTTTTGTTTGATTTTGTCAAATTAACAAAGTAAACATATAATTCAGAGTTCTTTAATATTTTCACTTCTGTGGTGCTGAAGACACATGGCACTTACAAACAGACAAAATTCTGCATATGACAAGCTTTAAAAACCTTGGCTAAACAAACCAATACTTAGATACAAATGTACCTGTCTTGAAGTCATCTAAAGCCTGTTCTCGATCACACTGTTCCCTGTCACCGTGAAGTGACTGTACTGGAATTCCTTGGAGACCAAGGTCACTTGCTAAGTCATCAGCTCTAGGACAAAATAAAACAATGGTTTTTAAAAAGAAAAAAAGTAAAAATAGTAGTGCAGCATCTAGATTGAGATCTAAAAGATAATAATGTGACAACAGAAGCTAAACATGTGCCTAAAGGGCAAAACCCTATCTAAGTCAAGTGATATTTATGATAAAACAATAAGAAAACAAGACTACTCCTCCCATATATATAAATAAAAGCAAACATACAAAGAGAAATACATGTTCACTCAAAAAGCTCAGGTATGGTACACCCCTGTCACCAATCAGTTCTATACACGTAAACAGTACATCACATTAATGTATCTCCAAGAATCTTAACATCTACTCTAACTACATGAAAAAAATTGAGATTTACCACCACCATTAGTGATATTAAAAAGGACACACACTACCAGTCAGTCCGAAGGAATGAATAAGTAAGTAAATATTAAAAGAATACTACTACTACCAGCACATTGTTGACAAAAGCTGTTACACTTGGTAGTTACTATGTGACATAAGGAACTATCCAGTATTTCTGTTAGAAAAAGTGAACAGACGTGATACTGGGAAATGATTACATACGTAAGTTTTTTTCCCACAAAAATGATGACCTTATCTTTTGGCTTCATAGAATCAATGAAGTATTGCATGAAAGCTCTCTTTTCTTCCTCAGCAATAACAACCACCCTCTGTTCTACTGTATTTACTGCCTGTTAAACAGCAAAAAAGAGATGCTAAGTAGGAACAGTATTTTTTCTGTTAATACCTATATTACAACACTATAAAACTAGTAATAGAATACCATAAAAAGCTATTCTAAACCCAAATTGCGTCAGTTTGGAGTTCAAACAATGCAGATATATTTGTAGTTTCTTAGTTGCTTTAGGAGAATAGTAAACATTTATCTTTAAGCAGTTTGTCAAATCATATATTTGCAGAGATTTAGAGGGTACAGGTTAGCAGACTAGCAAGGTGAAATATTCTTAATATTACTGAAAATTAGATTGAAGCACTTAAGACTGACATTGCTCCAACTTCCTCTGGATTAACATAAAATATACTCAAATTTACTTGAAAGGAGAAGATTTTAAAGAAGATTCTGTAATCTATTTGAAATTATCAGTTCTGTCCAATTATTCCAACAACCGTTTGTTAATAAAAACTTTACTCTTGTTATATTTGATGGTTGCCATAGAATGTCTAAGGTATAGTATTTAAGTAGAATAAAGGTTTAGACACTCTCAGGGCACTGCATCATAATCTTGTGACAAGTGCTGAAAAATCAATCAAGTATATAGATTCTCTTTCCACATGGGAAAAATCCTTTCCCATCCCCCAGGGGTCACCTCTTCAATTAAAAGAAGCTCCTATAAAAGAGAAGAATGCATTAAATGGGAGCTACGAGAGCATCTGATATCCTTTAAATTCTGATCCTCTGCCTTTGACAAGCAATGCCCCTTGACAAAAGCATAGTTCTGAACAGAAGAGATGAAAAGTACATTTTCCTCCTATTTCTACCTAGTGTACTGGATACTGTTTCCTCATTCCCTATCACTAAAAAAGTGGAACTGAAGAGAAAAATTTTCTAATTTAAGAACAAAACTCAAAGCAATCTCTGAACCAGGATGTGGAGATCTTGGAAGCACTACTGTTTCTGTAAATTCTGCTGGTACTGAAGCCAATTACACAGCTGCACAAGCATGGCAAGTATGTAACTACACAGTAGAAGTTTTGGATTTTAAAGGCAGTTCTTACTCTTAAAACATATATTCCTGCTCTAGACAAGTGCCCTCCAGGAGCTTAGTACAGAGGTTCCACTCTTCCACAAAGCAGCAGTTCAGAAAGTCAGATCCAGATAAGGATCTGTATGCATTAGAAGGAAGACATTCAGAAGGAAAAGTAACTAAGGAACAACAACTTGAACAAAAGACAAGGCTGCAAAAACAAGGGTTCAGGAAAGAACATCTGGCACTAAAGTACAGTATTCAAACTTCAATGTGATTGATTCTTGTTGCTTGTGATGTTTTCTAACTCAAGATCCAGGACTTCCAAGATCTTGTTACAGAAACACAACAACAAAGCTTTTTTCTACTTTTTTTTGTTAGTTCTTTCTAAACTTTTAATGAAGCTTTAAAAGAATAATAGCTGTTTTTTGAAAGTTCAGATTGATTTTAAAGTTACATGCATTTACTTACATAGTTACAAGCAAAATATTTCCTGCTTTAAACTGTAGGTTCTTCTCCAAAAGAAAAAACCAAAACAAAACACCAAACAGAACAACTTACTGCTAAGTCAAGAGTGCCAACATATACAATCATTGGATTTTTCAAATAGGATTTCGCTAGGCGACGAACACCATCAGGCCAAGTAGCACTGAACAGCAAGTGAAAACACACACATGAGAATAGAGTCCAAATCATCTCCAATTCATTAATTTAATCACATTCTTCTTTCTTTCTCATACACCAGTGAAACACTCAAGTATGCAATAATAGTAGCAAGCTCATATAACACTTTGAATAATCTTAAGAAGCTATTAGTAAACAGCACTCAAGCTTTAAAGATAACTTTCCAGGTTAAAAGTGCAGGCAACAGCTACGGAGCCTTTCTAATGAAGCCAAAGTGAAGTTAGTAGTTCAATGATACTTAATAAGCAAGTTTCTAGTCTGTTTTATTGTTGGAACAGCAGCACCAACACAAAATATGGTAACAAAAAATATTGTTGGGATATTCTATTGTTAAGCTCCCAAAACCTGCATAATTTCAAAATTAATTCAGATACCGACTGAACAGAAAATTAGGATACACATTTGGTCCCAGATGGAGAAATGGAAGGTGGCATTTCAAAGTGATATGGCAAATTCTAGCACTCCCAGGACTTGTTCCTTTTTGGGACTAACTCAGTTGTTTTTCCAGTTGATGTAAAACATCAGAAAAGAGATATGAAATGAAAATAAATTTGTTAAATGATTCATTGGGACTGACTAGACAGAATTAGAAAGACAATTGATGCCATTCCCATTTAGGTTAGTAAAGTTAATAAAACTGACAAGTTTGTTTTGAAGTTAACTTGTACAATAACCTTATGTTTACAGTGTTCAAGTACTGAGCGCTATGATATTTACATACCTTGTCATAACAGTTTGTCTGTCAGGCCGCACATCTATTAGGATCTTCATTATCTGAGGTTCAAATCCCATATCCAACATTCTGTCAGCCTCATCTAACACCTGCTCAGAACAAGGTTATTGTGTCTAGTTGCTTACATAAGGGTTTCAGCAAGACACTACATAGAAGACCATTTTAATAGTAACAATTTAAACTGCAGAATCCACTCCATAATGTAATGCATAACCTGTTCAACTTTTATTTCACCTCTTTGATTTCCTTGAAGTTTTTTCATTTGTGGGCAGAACAAGAAAACCCACAGCATCTTTAAGAGCACTTAAATTCAAGGAGGAAGTACAACTATTGTTTGTTTGAACAATAATTTGGTTGGTGCCTAAAACTAAGCACAGAATTTAAAAAAACCCAACATAAATCAAACCCAACCAAACCCGGGACACACATACACACGACAACGACTCCCCACAACACACTTTCAATACATTTTTTTTTTTTTGTAATTTAAAGGGGGAATCTCATTTCTACCATGTTAAGAGATCTCATACAAGACTAAAATATCAGTTATCAATTTAGTTCCTCATTAGAGGTAGGAAAAAACCCAGACAGTACATTCATCTGGTTAAAACAAAAATAAACCCAAAATGGAACAAATAAGCTGCAGGTCTGAGTACAACTAGTTGAAACTGATCTTTTTTCTAATATACAAGCATATTTGTGAATGTTTTCAGTCTCATACATAGGAAGAAGGCTGCCATCCAAGACTCATCATTTTTCTCCTTTAAAGCATGATCTATACAACTTTGATTAACTATTGACATTTTCTAGTCACTTATGTGGAAACATAAGACTTCAATGATAATCCCCTTCTACTGTCTTGATTCTGTTCTATTCTTCTCAGATGTTTTATTCTGTTGAAGGTTTTTAGTACATTACCTATGTAAATCTCTGAAATAACAAATCAACTGAGAGAGAGAAGACAAGAATTCTATTTCTTGATTTAATTATCCTTATTTTCAAAGGACTCATGGAGATTTCATTAACAGATTCTAATAAAATGTCAAAGCTGAAACATCACTAATTTTATATACAGAGTTGGCTACTACGCCCCTTATAGCAGCAGAAGCTTTCTCAGCTATTAAGCACACTGGTACTTTGCTGGAAAGGAAGAAGAAAGCATGTAAATATGTGTATTAGATCAGAATATTTGGAAATTTACTTTCCTTTTTTTCTGATAGCTGCTTAATAAAGAAAAAAGGCTGTAATAGAGATAAGATAGATAACAGCACTATTTTTTTAAAAGACCACATAGCCAGGTCCTGGTTTATAAGGTAAGTCTCCCCACAACTAACATACAATTTGGTTTCTTGTTATCTATGCATATTTACTTGTTTGTTAATATTATTCATTTCAGTTCTATTTCTTGACAAGAAATTCTTATAAGCCAGTTCATGTGAAAATAATTTTCTTTCCTGTTACTGGCAAGTTTTATACTTTTTTTTTAATTTGAAGAATAAAAGGACTACTCCAATCTATCCTCTATATCCTACTTCATGATTTGTATTTTTTTTAGTATACTTCCCGTAAATGCTTCTCAATTATTCATGCACAACTCCCATTTCCTTACTTCTGCTTTTTGAGCATAACGTCAAAAGAAAAAAAGCACTCATTACTGATAAATTCATACCAATTTACACTGAAAACAACAAAACAAAAAGCAATCTTCAAATGACATGTATTGTAAACAATAAAAAGGCCACATATGACAGTATTACCCAGTCTTTCTTCTGAAATCATGAAAACCAGCAGCCTATCTTGAATAAATGGGTTCCTAAAAATCTGAATCAAGACTACAACTAACTTGATGGTTCTGTCAGGCGAGGCGAAAAGTTCCCTGTCTCCAGTTCACTTCATGTACAGTGTATATTGAAATATAATTAACTCTAAGAGTTTGGGTTTTCATTTGTTTGTTTGTTTCAATTAAACAATAGTATACCAGTCTCTGACTTTGGAAGTCATTTGGGAAACAATTATATCATACCAGCAAGTGCTACTCAGTGCACTTCAGGAACATTCACAAGACTCATCAATATCTTTAAATAAAACTGTAAATGAAGCGCTTCAATGAAGAGTGTTCATGCAAGGTATTAAAAGTTGAAATCTATCAGCCCTCTCTCTCCTCTGAAATAAGGCTTCAAGATTAAATTATTTGTTGGCTGAAAATTGACAATGAAGCTGTGGAAACAGAAAGCATCTTATGTATTAAAAAGTACAAGAAACTACAAGGAAAAAATATATGGTAACAGAATTTTGGATGTTCAACTTTTCATATGGAAACTAAGGAAGCACAGCATTCC